AGAAAAATATAATCTATTACCTTTTTACCATTTGTCATTATTTTTTTATCCTTGTATAAAATGATTTCTTCTTAATAAACACAAGGTAGATATAAAAGAACTTTGGTAGGTAAATAATTTTGTCTAATATCATTAATTACTAACAGGTCAATTATACTGTGAAGTGCATAATTGTCATGAAGCTTAAGAATCCTTATCATGGATTCTATAATTCATTTAAATTACATTAATTATACAGATTTTTAATGAAGAAGAGAGACTGCTTTTAATCCCCACAAGTAGAGACAATGATCAAAATATTTATGTGTGTCTTTCATATTTTAATCTGTTGACGTTCTTAAAATAGTTCATTTACTCAGGCAGTATTAGCACCTTTCCATGCAAAGAAGGGGGTAGGCAAACATGTTTGGATTGCACATAAAAGTGTATGATCTTTAGTTCTTCTATTTAGTACCTAACACAACTCAGGATACTGTGGGAAGCCAGCTCCCACTTTCACCCAGGGTACTGTTGAGGAGAGGGAGGAGAAACTTGTGGATAGAAAGACAGCAGAGATTGAGACAGAAACACAGGATAATGTCGGGAGGGCCTGGATTAATATCCACCGGCCCCTTCCATCTCTTCAAAGGGGCTTTTTATAACAATGCCAAGGAGTGGGGCAAAAGAACTTCCCCCTGCTAGATCAAAGCATGCTGCACAGCCAAGTGCAGACCCTTCCAAACACCTGGGAACCATGCACGTGGTCAAGCCATCCCCTTATGCAGCACTGCTGGGTAAAGCAAGCTCAGATCTCACTAGGAAACCTCTGTGGGCCCCCACAGGATATATTTTTCAGAAAATAAAATGTTTAAGGTTTGTTTTTGTTTTTGTACTTGGAATGAAACCCCAGTTCTTCTATATGCTAGGCAAGTGGCTGATGGTTTGGCTGAACTCCTAGCCCCAGGTATTTTTTTATTGCATTGTGTGTCTATTTTTGTGTGTCTATGTGTGTGTGGTGGGGGTGTCTGTGTATATGTGTCTGTATGTGTGGTGTCACATGGTATGTGTGGAGATCAGAAGATAACATTCAGGAGTCAGTTCACTCCTTCTATCACGGAGGCCCTAAGATCAAACTCAGCTTGTTTTGCTTGGTGGGAAGTGCCTTTATCCACTCAGCCATCTCACCTACCCATGCCCCAGTTACTTTGAACATTAATTGGTGGTATCTATAAAATTGTCTTAATATCATGGACGTGCTTAACAAACCATATGTCATCCCAATTCCTAGAGTTCACGTCCAAAATTACTTGGGCAAGTAACTTTAACTTTGTGTGTCTCAGATCATTCTCATTCATAGAATTAAGATACTAACATTTGATGAAACTAAAGAGGAATATGTAAAGTGTCTAAAACAACCTTTAGCTAATACTATATAACTTTTCCATTATTTATTTGTCCATTTGTAGTTCAATGTAATAAACATAATAAAAATATCCCAATACACCTTTATGAAATGGGTAGTAGACATGTTTTAACATCAAAATTCCATGTGAGGTATGGTGCTGCACACCTGTAATCCCAACACTGAGGAGAGTGAAGCAGGAGGGTCAAGAGTTCTAAACCAAGGGGGCTGGAGAGATGGCTCAGCTCTTAAGAGCACTGGCTGCTCTTGCAGCATCCCTGGGTTCCATTCCCAACATCACAGTCACCTGTAACTCCTTTTAGGGGCATCTGACGCTTCTTATGACCCCCACAGGGACCAGACACACATGTGGCAAACAGACATATATGCAGCAAAACATTCATACAATAAAAATAAGTAAAGATATGTTTTTAAAAAGAAGAGTTCTAAACCAACCTGGGCTGCATAGCAAGTTCCAGGCCAGCTTGGAATACGGGCAAGATGCCATCTCAAAGCATTTAATAAACGAAATAAACAATATAAAACTAAACTTCCATTAAAGTAGCACAAGGTGGCCTTGTGAGAAAAATTATAAATCCCAAATAATTTATTTTAGGAGTACTTTCTCATATGGTGTGATTTTTCAGCAGCATAGTATGTAAGTGTTACAACTCTGAAGGGAAAGGTATCCTGGCCATCGGAAGCCAGGAGATAGCTACAGCGCTGTTCAGGTGGGGGATGGTTTCCTGTCGGAATGCAGCAGTTCTGCTCCTCCCAGGGGAGCTGTTACAGCTCCACTCTGCAAAGCGAGTTTCCCTGAAGAAATGTAGCAGCTCAGCTCTGCTCCAGCAAAAGTTGTTACTTCTCTGCCAAACTCCACTCTGGTGAAAGAAGGTCTCACTTAAACCTCATTCAAGAGATTTATTGGGAGGGAGAAATAGAGCAGAGTGGCCACCTCTGCTAGGGTGGGAAAGGCCGCTCCAAACTGAACAGGAACAGGGCTTATATAGGGCTTCTTAGGGGCGGTTCTCCAGGGTGAGGATTTTCAGGGTGGGAATTGATCTGATTTCCATCCCTGAGTTTGGACAAGCCCGGAGATTGGATGGAATTCATGCTCAGGGATTTGTTGGTTTCCTGCTCAGGGATTGATTGGTTTTCATGATGAGTTGGTCAGAGGCAGTGTATTTCTTTGGCTCTGGATTCGGGGCCAAAGTGTGTTTCTTTCACTGGCCCATTTACCCTACATAATAGCGCAAATTATTTCATCTTCAAGTTATTTTAAAATTTGTATAGATGGCAATCTAATTCCAACCATGAGAGATCAGGCGGAGAACTTAAAGAGGCCCCAGATATGGCAGTTTTTAGATCCCCCCAAGTTTGGACCTAGAAGGTGAGAAAAGGCCTAGGTAAAGGGTGAAGAAGGAAGGTAAATTACCACCGGGGTAGTGGCTCCAAAGTCCCCTTTCTCTCTAAGCTTGCCCTGCTTCTGACATGTAAGTTACTGCTCATCCCTGCCAGAGAATGTGGAAGCCAGAACCAGAAAGCTGCATCCTGCACTCGTGCTCTGTGCGCGGCTGTCAACGGGAGGTTCCCGCTCTAAAGCACAGAGGGATGACAGCCACTGAGGAGCTGCTTGTCCATTGCCATGGGGACTGCAGTGAGCCTTTGACAGCAGGCCTTTCAGGATGCAGCAGCACTGGGTTTGGCGTCCTCTTTAAAATGCTGGACGATGAAAGGTAGCTCAACAAGTGGTAGAAAAACTAAGGAGAAGAGAAAAGAGCAGATAAGATTCCCTCCCTGCTGGAATTCTAGGTGCAGTGTGACTTGGCAAGTTGGGAGCTGCTGTATGTTAGTATTCAAGGAAATAAGCAATAAACATGCTTAAGTTATTTTTTTCTTTTTTTTTTAAATTTTATAATTAATTTAATTTTACATATCAGCCACGGATTCCCGGTCCTCCCTCCTCCTGACGCCCCCCTCCCCCAACCCAACCCCCTCATTCCCATCTCCTCCAAGGCAAGGACTCCCCTAGGAATTCAGCTCAGGCTGGTAGATTCAGTCAAGGTAGGTCCAGTCCCCTCCTCCCTTCACCCAGGCTGAGCAAAGGCTCCAAAAAGCCAACTCAAAGCCGGGCGGTGGTGGCGCACGCCTTTAATCCCAGCACTCGGGAGGCAGAGCCAGGCGGATCTCTGTGAGTTCGAGGCCAGCCTGGTCTCCAAAGCGAGTTCCAGGAAAGGCGCAAAGCTACACAGAGAAACCCTGTCTCGAAAAACCAAAAAAAAAAAAAAAAAAAAAAAAAGCCAACTCAAGCACTAAGGACAGGTCCTGGTCCCACTACCTGGGGGCCTCCCAAACAGTTCAAGCTAATCAACTGTCTCACTTATCCAGAGGAACTGATCCAGTTGGGGGCTCCTCAGCTATTGGTTCACAGTTCATGTGTTTCTGCTAGTTTGGCTATTTGTCCCTGTGCTTTTTCCAATCTTGGTCTCAACATCTCTCACTCATACAATTCCTCCCCTCTCTCACCGATGGGACTCCCGGAGCTCCACCTGGGGCCTGGCCGTGGATCTCTGCATCCGCTTCCATCAGTCATTGGATGAGAGTTCTAGCACGACAGTTAGGGTGTTTGACTATCCGATCACCAGAGTAGGTCAGTTCAGGTTGTCTCTCAACCATTGCCAGCAGTCTATTGTGGATGTATCTTTGTGGATTTCTGTGGACCTCTCTAGCACTCTGCTTCTTCCTATTTCCATGGGGTCTTCATTTATCATGTTCTCTCTTTCCTTGTTCTCCCTCTCTGTTGTTGATCCAGCTGGGATCTCCCGCTCCCCTAAGCTCTCTTTCCCCCGACCCTTGCCCTTCATTATCCCACCTCACGTCCAGTTTGCTCATGTATATCTCATCCATTTCTCTGTCATTGGGTGATCCCTGTGTCTTTCTTAGGGTCCTCTTTACTAGGTAGCCTCCCTGGAGTTGTGAGTAGCAGTCTAGTCGTCCTTTGTTTTACATCTAATATCCACTTATAAGTGAGTACATACTATGTTTGTCTTTCTGAGTCTGGGTTACCTCACTCAGGATGGTTTTTTTCTGGATCCAACCATTTGCCTGGTTATTATGCTTATATTGTAAGGTCATATATTTATGTAGGTCTCGGTTCTTTTACTTTGCTCTATAGTGCCTAATTGTCCAGGATCAGAAAGGATTCAAGCTGATGTTTTATGGAAACTAGATAATCTTTGTTTTCTTGAGGATTAACTTGATTATTCCCAGTCTAGGGATAGGTTGCTGTCCCTTCAAGGGTATCCGTTCAGTTGATGTCTGTGACCTGTAGCCATTTATACATTCTACACTGAAGGAAATGTATTACATGCAATTTTAAATCTGGAAAATACAGAAACCTCATTTGACACAATACTTTAAAATTTAATACTCACTTGTTATTTTCCTCTCCCATTCTCCCTGAAGTAGTGCCAATGAATTGTTGCCCAAGAGGCAGTCAGCAGAAATAAGCAAGGAAAACTGATGCCTCAATAAACCAGTGACTATATATCCAGACCTTGAATAAACAATTATTGGTTGAAAGTTATTAAAATACTGATTTTATTTTTTTTTCTTTTAGGTGGGAAATGAGGAAAGATGAAACTCTGGAAGAGGAAGAAAAAATGATGCTGGAACATTTAAAACAAATCTGTAGCACACAGGACTCTTCTTCGTTAGACAGCCCAGACGAACCGTAATCTGCAGAAAACGTCAACAGCTTTATTTTAGGAAACAGTCTCCTGCAATGGAGGCTTTCACCATCGTCAGAGGAACCTCACGCATGCCACTGAGTACAGCCATCACCACAGAGGCTCTGTACTGAACAGGAACACAGAACATAAAGAATAAGAGGCTCCGTAATTTTTATATTAAAGATAATTTCAAATTCTTTCCCAATCTTTCTCCTTATCTGATAAAACTACTGCCATCTCGTGTTCCCTTTGAATTATGTTTTTTTTTTTCTTCCCTTCAGTATTGACGTATCTATGACAACAGGAAAAATGTTTGGAAATATTTTCCTTAGGGACTTCTTATACAATATTTAGATGTTAAGTTGATTGGAGCCCCCCAACCCCGGAAGTCATCTGAAAACTACAATTTGATTTGGTAGCTGTAGCCCAAGAACAGATCTTAATTGTCTTTAGTATTACTGATTGGACCCTTCCCCTATAACCTCTTCCTCATCCACTTTATCTTAATCATAACCACAAGAAAGCAGTCTCCAGCACTATATAACTTCCATCATATGACGGCTTGTGATCGTTGTTGCCCTCCTCCTAAATACCATTCCACTCTGATGCTTTCACCTCCTGTACCAAGTGGCTCCGATTCAGGAAACTCGTGACATCCTTTTGACTCAAGCCAAAAAAAAAAAAAAAAAAGGTAGTTTTTCCCAACCAAAAACCATCTTTATTTCAAAATTATGTTCAAAAATTATCTATTGACTACCCAGGGTCCGGGGATTGCACTAGGTCCGGCATGGGATATCTGAGGGAAAAAAATCTGTGTATTCTATGTTCTTATGTCTGTAACTTTATTCCTTTAAGATAAAATTCTATCTATACAGCTACAGCTCCATCAGGCATTCAAGACAAGAATAAATCTAGATACACCAAGCTCTTTATCCATCCACTTTATTTCTCTGGGATGAAATTCTGTCTGTATAGCTTCAGTTCCGTCCAGTTCCCTAGCTCATAGTCCTGCTAACGACTAAACTCCTAAGCTACCAGCCTCATCTTCGTCCTCCATTTCCTTATTCTCCATTTCCACTACACTCTACTCCTGGCACTCAGAAAACTCTACCCTAGACCTGCTTACCCTCGACGGAACCTCTGTCTTCCTCTCTTCTCTCACCATTCTGTCTGTTTCTCAAGTTCTTCTTATACCTCAGTCCCCTCAGTCTCTGAGGTGTTCAGTTATAAACCCAAACCATAGTGATCCTCTGTCAGAGCAAGGTCACCAGGCTTGAATTCTTACAGAGTCATAAAGGTAGGTGAGAATTTTCCTCAGACAGTGACCACCAGGCTTTCTTTTACAACCCAAAATGGGAGTGGTAAAAGAGGAGGTCAACTGAGTGCTAATGACCGGTTAGTATATCAAAAAGGGGATCTATGTGCTTAGTCTACATTCCTAGAAGTGGTTAGGTAAGAAATTAGGGGTCTACTAGTAAGGTTGTACAAGAAAGGAGGGTCTCACCCTAAATTGCACAAGAAATAAAGCTATCTGCCTGACCTGGAGACAGGTGTTGTTTCGTTTGGCCTTGGATGCTTGATAGGCATTTTAGATAAATACACTGTTAGGAGTTCTTGGAAGCATGCATAGCATTACAAGAAAATCACTGTCGGAAACAGCTAATATACATACAAAACTAAAATATCACCAAGACTTCTTAAACCATGGCTTGATCTTTGGAGAAGTCCTTGACTTTTCCAAGTAGTAGCTTTTGTGACAGTAGCTGAGTTCCATTAGGCTTTCCTGAGGCTTGCAGCAGTTATCCTTCTCTACCCTTTATTAACTACAACGCCTGTTGTTGCTGTTGTTGTTTTATTCTCTTTTTTTTGGGGGGGGGGGAGTTACCACCCAGCTCCCAAATAAATACATGGAAGCCTTTTCTTAATTATGAATGCCCGACCTTAGCATGGCTTATTTCTAGCCAGCTTTTCTTAACTTATTATCCAGTCTGCCTTTTGTCTCTGGGCTTTCCCATTTCTTACTCCTGTTATCCTACACTCACTCTTACTCCGTGGCTGGCTGTGAGGCTGTGTGGCTGGCCCCTTCTTTTCTGGCTCCTTGATCTCTCTTGCTTTTCGAGCCCTCTTTTTCTCCTCTTATTCTCTCTGTCTGCCAGCCCTGCCTATCCTTTCTCCTGCCTTACTATTGGCTGTTCAGTTCTTTATTAGACCAGTCAGATGTTTTAAGCAGGCACAGTAACACAACTTCACAGGGTTAAACAAATGCAACAAAAAAGAATGCAGCACATCTTTGCATCATTAAACAAATGTTCCACGGCATAAACAAGTGTAACATATCTTAAAATAATATTCTATAACAAATGCCTGCTATTTTTCTTATTTCCATTGCACTTGCACACATGCAGAAAGAGACAGACAGACACACACACACACACACACACACACTCAGAGAGAGAGAGAGAGAGAGAGAGAGAGAGAGAGAGAGAGAGAGGTGTTCTACCCTGCCTGCCAAGTACAATTATATATATTTAGTATGTCCTTCCTATCAGTGCCTGATATTATATTATAGAGACCCTAAAAGTCTTAAATATAATATGAAGTTTCCCTTTATAAACCTGAATATGCTAGGATTATTCAATGTGTGGGCAGTTAACAAAAGCAGCTGATTAAGTAACTACCATTGGAAGGAGATACACTGTGCACAAAGAACCATGAGGACATATGGGAGAAGCCTCATGGTGAACCATGGACGATCTGACATCAAACATCATGTCTTCTGATGTTCTCACAAACTTAGTAAACTCTGTGTGCTCCCACATCCTGTGATCTTTATGAAATACTTGTAGCCACATAATTTCCTAAGGAAAGTACTCACATATTTTTCAAAGGCTGAGTTTAGTGTACAAAGGAGGTCACTGTAGAGAGTCTTACATTTTCACTTGCAGTAAAATGAACAGCCATGTACCCAGATCCCTGCTAAATAACACACTTTAAATTAAAAAAAAATAGACCATGAATTTGAAAAAGAGCAAGGAGGGGTATGTAGTAGGGTTTAGATGGAGGAAAGGGGGAAAATGATATAATTATTTTATTCAAAAATAAATAATTTTGTAAAGAAAGTCCTTTAGTTGGCCTGGATAATGTGAAGCAAGTATTTTCAAATATGCCTTAACTAATTTTTTTAAATTCTATTGAAGTCATTTAAAAATTAGAGTTTTACACAAAATGAACATTCCATTTAATCTTACTTGTAAATAGTAAAAAGAAAACTCAATATAAAGCAGTTGATTGTTCCTCCAGCTATCTGATAGGATCCTACATTAGTCTACATAACTATGATACAGTAGACAATAACTGAAGAGCCAAAATGAAAATAAATTGACCCGAATAAAAATGTTATAGTAGCTCACATATCAGTTGTCTCTATTAAGATGACATTTTAAAGCTCTTTTACTGTAGCTACGCATTTGTATAGCAATCCTGAGAAGTGACTTCATTTCTTCAGAAGAAAAAGTTCTGTGTCTGTCATTTGAAAGAGAAAATGAGATGAGAGAAAACTTATCTGAATTCTCTTCTGTGCTTCATCATTGAATTACAGTGATAACTTCTGAATGGTTTGTGATTGGGAATGTTAAATATGTGATTGATTGTCAGATAAGTTTGACTTTCAGTGTTTTTAAGAATATGGTAAGTAGTATCTCGGAGCAGTTGTTTCTCACATTCAGCTTTGTATGGGTCGACGATAGCACTGAGGCCTCACACTTTGTGACTCCTCAGGTCCTGTTACAGAGACGGTGTCTGCTGTGTTCTGTGCCACTGTATTTTATACAATGCCGAGTTTTTCATTTTATTATTGGTTTAGCAGTTTCTCCATAGAAATAGTATGAATTAGATTTTTAATTATGTCTATTTCAGATATCATGTATTTATGATCTCTATAAACATTCTTGTAGGAATACCAACTAAAGAATAGGAAAAATTTGTTTTTCTCTGTTAGTATGTGCTCACTCATAGCATAATGATATCCCTACATTCTCAGACCAAAAGGATGTTCAGCTAGTCTGTCATCATCTTTCCTTTCTTTATACTTGAACAATTGTATACTAGAAAATAGCCTTTAAAAAGGAAGTAAATCCTGCCACATATAACATTACAGATAAATGCAAGGACAGAATGCTAAAGGCAAAAATTCAATAAACCAGGGACTTAAAAACACTGAGACGCTGGAGAGATGCTCAGTGGTTAAGAGCACTCGATGCTCTCACAGAGGACCAGGCTTTGACCCCTAACACCCATATTGCAGATCAAAACCCTCTGTAACTCCAGTCCCAGGGTATATGATGCCCTCTCCTTGCCCCTGTGGGCACTGCATGCATGTGGTATACATACACACATGCAGACAAAACATCCATACATAGAAAATAATTTTAAAAACTTAAAAAATAAATGTTGTGTGATTCTACTTCTGTGAATATATGTTTTCTAATATAGTCAGATTCATATAAAAGAGTAGTGGTTCCTAGGAACAGGGGAAGGAGAAAGGGAGATTGTGTTTAATGAGTGGAAAGTTCCAGATTGGTTAAGTTAAAAGAGTTTTAGAGAGTCATTTACAACAATGAATGTAGTTAATACAACCGAATCTATTCAAACTAGTTAGTAAAATAATTTTTTATTAGCTTATTACCACTGTTTAAACAGAATCTGTATCTGGAATGTCTGTTGACAATCCTTAACATGACACATGAAAGTTCTTGAATTTGAGAAGAAAGCTAAAATAGTATCTGGAGCATTGTTCTACACAATCAGGGAAGATATGTGCTTGACTTGTAGAAACACTCAAAGGCACTGTCTTATTGTTCTACCGCTGTGAAGAGATGTCATGACAAGGCAACTTATTTTACAAGAAAGCATTTAACTGGGGTCTTGCTTACAGTTTTATATATCAAAATGGAGGGACAACGTTGGCACCAGAGCAGCAGCTAAGAATCTGCATCTTGTTGACAAAATGGAGGAAGAGAGAGAGACTGTGCCTGGCACGGATCTTGAAACCTCAAAGCCTATCCCCAGGGGCACACCTCCTCCAAAAAGGCCATACCTAAGCCTTCCTAAAAAGTCCATCAACTAGGGACCAACCATTCAAACGTATGAGCCCCTGGGGACCAATCTCATTCAAACCACCACCGTCACCATTAATAAAATAGCAAACTCTTCAAGGATCCACAGCACCTAAGCACTCTGAGAATCCTCTGACCAAAACATTGTAATGAAGCTGGGTGTGTTGCTGTCCATCTATAATCCAAACATCCCATTGGCTAAAGCAGAGAGACTGGGCATTCAAGGACAGTGTGGAACACGCAGTAAGATGCTTCTTTAAACAAAGGTGCCAGTACCAGGTAAGGGTGCTGGCCTTCTGTCAAACTTGACAACTTCAGTTTGGCCCCTGTACTGTGCACAGTAGAAAGAGAAAACCAAGGCCTCTAAGTTGTCGTCCTCTGACTCCCACCTGCCCACTATAGCACACACACACACACACATACATAAACACTTGCAAATAAATACATGCAAAAATGAATAAAACAAAGCATACACATTCTAACAAACAATGATTACTTTCAGTAACAAAAACATGCATTGGTTACTTATTGCTGCATATCAAAACCAGAATTTAACAAATCAAAACAACACATCTATTATGTCAAAGTCACTGCCTGAGCACATTCACCTGAACTGTTTGCTGTGGCATTAGAAGGCTGTAACAAAGGTGCACCAAAGCTTAACATGGAAGAATCCACTGCCAAGGTCATGTGGTTGTTGGCAATACTCATCACTTTGCAGGCTGCTAGACAGATGGCCTCGATGTCTTGCCAGCTGCCGGTCAAAGGCTGCTGTCGGTTTCTTGCCATTTGAGTCTTCCCCAAATGGCCTTTCTTCCTCGGAGTCCACAAAGAAGAATGTCTTCTTGCAAGATCAATGTTATAGTCTTTTCTAACATAACAATGTACATTTGTTTCTTTTTATTACATTTATTAATTCACTTATTGTGTGCATACATGATGGGCATGGGTGTGTACATGGTTCATGTGTAGAGATCATAGGACAATATATGGGAGTCTCAGGGACTGAACTCGGGTCATCAGGCTTGGCAGCAAATGCCCTTACCCACTGAGCCACCTCACCAGCCCAATACTATGCAGTTAATCACATATATTCTGTCATCTATAGAAAATCCTAATGGTTAAAACCATCACTCATCCTTCCCATGCTCAGGGAAAAAGTCACACTAAAGCATGAATGTGAGAATGATGGGAAGCACTCCAGAGTGTCTACCACGAGTTGGAATTTAGATACCGAAATCTCCTGTGTGGGAAAGTGGAGGAACTGGCTTATAATGAAGAGCAGAGAGTCAGCCACTTTGCCATTTATCATGCAGTTATCATCAGCCAAACTCCGTGCCACTTTCGCTATCACTGGACTCCATAAGTATCCTCTTATACGCTCTCTACCTCCTTATTCATACTGGTGCTAGGATTCCTATTTGACAAATAGTGAGTTCTGAAGGCACAAAGAACTAATTCTAATTTTAAATAAAAATACACAGCAAAGGCTAGGCTTCCAATCGCCAACTCTACTTCAACCATATGGTACTAATAGATGAAATATGGTGACTCTACAGGCTGGTCACATGCCCACCCTCCACCCCCCACCCCTGTGGCAGCAACGACCCAGATCCATTTGAACATCCACCCTATCAACTTTCAGTGGTAGTCACCGTGCCTACCATGGTGACCATGGGTGACAGGGAAGCAGGGTTCAATTCCAGAGTGGGAGCTGGGGAAACAAATAATTGTTAAAAAGAGCCCCCAAAACCAAATCCAAATCACAAATATTCACTAGAATAAAAACGAAATCCAACATTTCCAAAACCTGGAACCACATTCCAACATGCTCCTTTGACACAAAGCCCCAGTTAAAAACTAATAATGATAATAATAATGTAAAGGCTCTGGAAGTGGTCATAAGGACAAACAGCAAATGAGTAAATATCCACAGAAGAAAAGCTGTCCATCAAGACCTGGACTTCCGTTCTCCCCCCATCTCAGCACAGCGGAAACTGCCCTGCACGGATACTGCAGCGAATCCCACAGGGTTCCCTCTACCCCAGCTCCAGTGGGTGACCTTGCTTCAAGAAAGAGCAGGACTTCAGCATTTCTCACCCTGCCCCAGACTGCCCTCTGCTAAAACAAAGTCCTGGAAAAGTGATTCTCGAGGTGGGGATGTCATTCTTTGGCCCAGCCTCCATCCCTACAATGGAATCTCTGAGTTGGAATGTACTGAGAATTGTGGGCCATGATTACCTTGCCTTAGTTCAAGAGTTATGTCTGGAAGGTAATTTTCCTGTGAAGCCAAGTTAACTAATTTTCTATTATATGGTTCATATTATCTAGTGTCCAAGAAATTTCTTGCTACCTGAAGCTACACCACTGTGCCCTTCTAGAAGTATTACTGCTTTTCACATCTTGAGTCAGCTTGAAGTGTTTGATTTAATATAAGTAGTAAAGTTCTTTTCTTTATTCGACAAGGACACAAGTTCTCAATTTTGCTAGCCAAATTTTCTCATGCCTGAAATTTTTCAGTCCTTTCTTGTTACTGTTTGTTAAAGCAGTGATGGTTTGTTACTGATTAGTGTGCATAAGATGCTGCATTTCCTTTGTAGTATGGGCTGGGAAGATGACTCTGAGTAAAGGCATATTGCATCCACAATCAGGAAACAGAGAGAAATAAATATATACTTCTTAGTGCTCAGTTCCCTTTCTCTGTCTTACACAGTCCAGGATGCCCTGCAAAAGGAATGGTCCCACTCGTAATGGGTCATCCTCCACCAAGATAACCCCCCACAGGCATGCACAGAGACTTATTTTCCAGATAATTCCACTTTCTGTCACATCAACAATTAACACTAATCATCACACCCTTATAATAGTCATGCCACCATGGTACCGACTAGCATGGCATACTGGCACAGTATGCAGGGTTCACAGCTACGTGAGACTGTTGATGACCTTCCTTCCCCAGGGTCCTGTGTAGCACCTTCTGGGACTAAGAAAGTCAGCCAGAAGGAAAGAACTTCCATTTCAGTCTCACTTTGATTCCTCTCTATCTTGCAAACAAAGTATAAGGTATCTTCAAGAGTAGGGGCTTTTAATTTTGTAAAGATTTATTTGATTTTAATTATGTGTTTGTATGTGGGCACTTGCATGTGAGTGTGGGTGTCTGTGGAAGCCCTGGAATTAGAGTTACAAATAGTTGTGAGCTTCTAAACGTGAGTGCTGGAAACTGAACTTGAGCTCCCTGCAAGAGGAATACATACTCTTAAACACCATCTCTCCAGCCCTGTATGGTCTTATCACTAGCTGTGGTTGGAAACTAGGGGTGTGGTGATTACCTAAACTGCTGCGAGGGCCTGAGGGACCTCAGTAGTGAACACTCACAGGGAGGTACCATAACATCAGGAAAACATGTTAATATTTAATTAATTTTAATTGCATGTCTATGATTATGTGTGAGTGTGTGCAGCTGAATGGTGTTCACACAGAGATCAGGAAAGAATGTTGGATCCCCAGAAGCTGGAGTTAGCAGAAGCCAGCTGACATCCATGTTACAAACCAGACCTGGGTCTTCTGCAAGAGAGGTATGCAATGGTAGCTGCTGAGCCATCGCCTCAGTCTCTCAGGAAAACTGGCCTTTTCCCTTTCCTTCTGTTGGGAATGTGATTTCTCTCACTGAAGCCACATACGTGATTAAAATGTGCCAGATACATACATTCAGCATATACTGAATTTAACAGTACAAAACTTGAAATCTGGGTTCTTGGTGATTATGGAGTCATGGAATTAGGTCTGAGTTGCCTACACTTATGAGAAATGAAACTTCTGTTTTGTTCAAACCAAGCTTATGTGGAGCATTCTATCAATAAGAGCTGAATCTTAACATTGTAGCAAAGACATGATGTAAGAAGAATAAATACTGCAGAGCAGAGCTGGAGAGGTTACATGGTGCCCCGAGAATGAACAAGTGAAAATGACTTAAGAAAAATGGAAATGAACTAAACTTCAGTCTTCACCACTTCCTGCTTCCCCACTGCAGATGTAGAGTGGCCATCGGGCGTAGGCACCAGCTAACCAACCAGTCTTCCCTGCCTTTGATGGACCATACCCTCAGCCAATGAGCAAAACCAACCTTCCTTCCTGGATCTGCTTTTGTTGGGCATTTTATCATCATACCTATGAGAAAAGTAACTGATACCATTTATATCTATCTTTAATTTGGGAGCATTTTTGGCCATTGTTACTTCAAATAATCCTTCTGTTTCTGTTTTTTCTGATGTTCCCCTTAGAGCAATGGTTCTCAGCCTTCCTAATGCTGCGACTCTAACACCGTTCCTAATGCTGTGGTGATCCCACA